TGAAATATGGAAAATATTCTATGAATGGCAGAGAATCGAGCAGTGGGACTTTAGAGGCATGATCTATACACGAAAACTGCTTCATTAATCTAAAGTTGTTATGGTGATTATAGTGTCCCTTTAAATGGAGATACATGGAGACAGAATATATTTTATATTTAACAGATCGAACAAGAACATGTTTGAGTCAGCAGTTCTGAATAAGTAATTGTAAAAGCTCCAATCCCCTCTGGATATGTAGTATTTTGCAGACACAAGGGTTACTGTTAATTGTAACTGTGTAGGAGTATAAATAATTGGATATTTAATGCAGATATTCCAAAAACTACCTGAGTAATCCTCGAAATGTATTGATATTGGTTTTTAGTGCATCCTAAGCAGAAAACACAAATCTGCACCCCCCAAAAAGGTCCTAAATCCTAATCAGAGGACAGTAGTGTACAACTAGCCCCTGATAGTCCTATGGTGCGTACCTTACCACACTGTTAACCAGTGATTTTAAAAGGGAGTATGGGAGTATTAAAAGGAAGTATAAGTAACCTATATAGAGAGGGGGGACAAAAGAAAAATTAGTAAAACATTTTGTGCAAATAAATGCACTTTTTCATTGGTAAATTCTGGGTTATGAAAACAATCTGACCTTTCAGTAGAGCAACACAAATCTAATCTTAAAGGACCACTCTAGGCACCCAGACCACTTCAGCTTAATGAAGTGGTCTGGGTGCCTGGCCCAGCTAGGATTAACCCATTATTTTATAAACATAGCAGTTTCAGAGAAACTGCTATGTTTGTAAATGGGTTAATCCTTCCTCCAAAGCCTCTAGCGGCTGTCTCATTGACAGCCGCTAGAGGCGCTTGCGTGATTCTCACTGTGGCACGCAAGCGTCCATAGGAATGCATTGTAAATGCTTTCCTATGCGACCGGCTGAATGCGCGCGCAGCTCTTGCCGCGCGTGCGCATTCACTTGAATGGGAAGAATGGAGGAGGAGAGCAGGAGGAGAGCTCCCCGCCCAGCGCTGGAAAAAGGTACGTTTTTACCCCTTTCCTCTCACCAGAGCCGGGCGGGAACGAGTATGTTTTCCTGGCACTATAGTGGTCCTTTAACACGGGGTAAGATCTGTGGAGAATTTTGTGCAGGGTAATCTGTATGTTTGGATAGAATAGTATTATACGCCTCTGTTCCTGTGCCTCCATTTGTCTGGTTATATTGTGTCTGTTAGTCCACCCATTGCTACGGAATAATAATAATACATGGCTGTAGGCACTTTTTGTTCACATTTCAAAACCCTTCTTGGTGTCCATAGCTTTAATAATCTTCATTGGGCGGAGCCTGACCGCCGAGCAATACAGACGTGGGCAACACGAGCTCCCGCCTGACGGGCCGAATTTGGGGCAAAATCACCGGCTACATAGACTGCAGACTCACCGGGTTGTGCTACCCATGCTGGGAGTGCACCACGGAACCGAAGGACACCCCTCTGAAACCCGTCGGGGCCGGGAAGACGAAACGCCGAATGCGGCCTACTAAAGTTGGAGCCGGGGGGAGACGGCCGCTCAACCCGACGCCAGACACACCAAGCGACTTTACAGGTTTCCTACCCCCCCCCTTTGGACCGGTGGGGGTTATCCCGGTCCCCACTGAGAGAACGGACTGTGGCACCAATCCCTACCCCAGCTGTCTGAACACAGTAGGCAACGCAAGGCACCCCAACCTCACAAAATGGCGGAGGCCATACCACAGTCGCAGCAAACTCCCGCACGAGCACCCCCAGACACTCTTGAAACCAGACTGGACGCTTTGTTCCAGGCATTTTGGGACAAACTGCGGACCCGTGCCACTGCCGAACAACCCAACCGGTGCACAGAACGGGAGGCGGGCGCTTCCCCTCCGGGTAACCTACGCCACATATCGCCTCATCGCACCAGCAACTGCCCGCCCAGGCTGATAGCCAACAGAGGCCTGGCCTCGAGACATCGACCACACAGGGAGAAGAATGCACGCCGCAGGCGGCGGATGCCACCGTGATTCTCTAACTGCCCCTTAAGGGGCCAGGACCGGGCCACACGTGAGTACCGAGTCCGTGGACAGAAGATGTCGGCTTTCACAACATCCTGGGGCTGGAGGATAGCCCCCCGCACCCGCTGTTCCCCGGTTAAACCCGGCAGCCAATCTCTGCAGCTGACAACCTGTCAAGCTACCTATCCTCTCAGGCAGAAAACACCTCCAGGCACAGTATCCCTGCGACAGCCAAGCAAGAGGAAAACCGCCCGCCTTGACCGCAGCCTCACACGACCCCTCATACAGTTACAGCTGAACACCGAGGACAATGGACCAACGACGCATACCCTTCTGCAGATCCAGAGCTGGAAAAGAGCCATGGAACAGCACACTGTGGTAGACAATCGATGGGACTACCCTACACTTGTACCGCCCATACCGCTACTGGGGATCGGCTGACCGGGCGCCTGAGCCCTCACCCGGAGTCTCTGTTAACCCATGGAAGACACCGTGCAAAGGGACATACCAGATAAGAGACTCCCCATTTTCTGTTGAGGAAATTCTAGCTCAGCTTTGTTTTATTTTGTTGCCTATAACTTTGCCCCTACTGGTTGCGCAATTTGCTATGCCTGGGCCTGAACCCAGTGGTATAATGTTCTCTATGCATGCATGACTTTATGTTCAACAAGCTTGATTACACACAGACACAAATGTTTAGCAATTTTCAGCTTGATGCCAAAAGCCTGTATAATCTCACGTAAAGTATCACACGAGAATAAGGCACACTTTGGGTACGCAGTCTATATACAGCATACGTTCACTACTTCGAGCTCATGCAACTACTCGAGTCAGTTTCAGCTTCTAGCATGTTGTACCCACACTACCTATACTGTTACTTGTGCAGCCTAAATATTGCCGTAATAATTGAACCATACAGTTATGGATGTGTTAGCAATTTACTTGTTCTTATATATTAAAAAAAGAGGCAGACGCTTCATGGAGGCAGTCCCAATTGTACTGTTATAATCCTTTTAAATTGTATCTTAAATACCTCCCCTTCTTTTTTCTGTTCCCATACAACTATATGCCTCAATAAAAGAAAGATTGACAAAAATAATCTTCATTAATGGTATTTTTTTATGGATGTCACCATGTTTCTCAATGTTATCCTTAACACAATCCTGATTTCAAAGCTTCAGCAACCCCCAAAACAACAGAATTAGTGTACATCTGAAAAAATGGTTAGTAATGAATAACCGTCACTGTCCTTTCACAAAGCAAGCAGTTTATTTGCTCATTTCGTGTTATTTTTCAGCCTCTGTTTTACAGGAGTGCAGTGAAGCATTCACAGGATTAATAGTCATTGAGGGTTGATAGGAAACTGTAATCCTGCTGTATGTTTGTGTCTCCAGGGACAGCAGCCCCCCTGCTGAGATGATGTAGGCTGGCGGCAGAAACTGACCAGGGACACTGAATATGTCCACATTCATAGCTGTGACATTCTGTGCGTTGAAGACAAAGACATTTAAAGCCTCTGGGCTAAGGAATATACATTTATAAAGTCCTCATTGGGTTAAATTAAAGCAGAACTGTCATATATGATAGTTTTTTAGCAAACCACGGCTAACTAAATTTTAGCTATAGGTCATGCTATTTCTTTTTAATGCTCTGTTTAGATTTTGTTGCAACAAATTTACATTGTCAGACCCAGATTATACCATGCGCTTTAATCTTACCCACATAGTGCATAATAAGTGTATTCGCACAGTGCATAATAAGTGTATTCGCACAGTGCATGATAAGTGTATCTGCACAGTGCATAATAAGTATATTCGCACAGTGCATAATAAGTATATCCGCACAGTTCATGGTAAGGGTATCTGTACCGTGCATTATAAGTGTATCCGCACAGTGCATAATAAGTGTATCCCCACAGTGCATAGTAAGGGTATCCACACAGTGCATGATAAGTGTATCCCCACAGTGCATAGTAAGGGTATCCACACAGTGCATGATAAGTGTATCCACACAGTGCATTATAAGTGTATCCGCACAGTGCATAGTAAGGGTATCCACACAGTGCATAGTAAGGGTATCCACACAGTGCATGATAAGTGTATCCCCACAGTGCATAGTAAGGGTATCCACACAGTGCATGATAAGTGTATCCACACAGTGCATTATAAGTGTATCCGCACAGTGCATAGTAAGGGTATCCACACAGTGCATAGTAAGGGTATCCACACAGTGCATAGTAAGGGTATCCACACAGTGCATAGTAAGGGTATCCACACAGTGCATAGTAAGGGTATCCACACAGTGCATGATAAGTGTATCCACACAGTGCATTATAAGTGTATCCGCACAGTGCATAGTAAGGGTATCCACACAGTGCATAGTAAGGGTATCCACACAGTGCATGATAAGTGTATCCGCACAGTATATAATAGGTGTATCCCCACAGTGCATTTTAAGTGTATCCGCACTGTGCATAATAAGTGTATTCGCACAGTGCATTTTAAGTGCATTCGTACAGTGCATGATAAGTGTATCCACACAGTGCATGTTATCCTAGGAACTCCACACATTGTGTATGAGATTTAACAAATAGATGGTGCTTTTGTAAACGTTCCAACACAGTTTTAACATTTAGTTAATGTTTTTGGATAGATGAAAAAATTAGTATATTACAACATACTGGTCAAGTAAGTCCCTGAAAATGTCATTGACCAAATGTTGGACAGTAGCAGGGGCATTGCATAACCCGTAGTGCATTACCAGTTAATCAAAATGTCTGTACCTTGTGTAGAAGGCGATTTTCCATTCATCGCCTTTTCGAATCTGCACAAGGTAGTAAGCCCCTCTGAGATTAAACTTGGTGTAATAGGATGCATCTTTCATTCTTTCTAATAGTTCTGTTCTAAGCAGTGGCGTCTCCAGCATTCATATTTAGGGGGGCACATGGGGGGCCAGGGACAGAAGTAGGGGGGCAATTACAAAACGTGTGTATGAGTATGTATGTGTGTATATATATATATATATATATATACATATATATATATATATACACACACACACACACACACACACACACACAACATGGAGAACATTTAAAAGTTAACAAAATTTAGATTTCCAGCACCTTGTTAAATATGCTAAAGTCTGCTTTAGATATGCAATTGTAACAATATCTCATAATGCCAGAATTGTTAAAAAACTAGTTTTTTTTAAAATATTTATTTTTAAAATAATTTACAACATGCAATTTGAAGGGAATTTAAATTAACACTTTTATATAAATATTTAACATACATAGAAAATGGTCACTTAACAGTGTATTCTCTACACTACAGTTTAAGCATTTTAAAGTGACACAAAGTTGTATTTTGAAAGGCTAACACAAATGATTTTTTTCCTGTAAGAATAGCTGATTTAGCTCTACTTCCATTAACAACTAAAAATGGTTGGCACTAAAGTTTGTGCCCTGACCTATAGTTGGTAAGTAGTATACCAACACAAACTACAATTACTTGTTTCATTCTCATGCTCACAATATGGAATCCTGGGTACATACATATCATTTACTCAAAAGTTTCAATTAAAGTTCACGTTACTTACAGTAGTAATGCCACCGTCTGGAGTGTCGGCTCCGCTCACTCAGTCCCTCTGCAAATTGCACTCTCAGGTAGGTAAGGTTTCACACCTTATGTGGGGCCGCACTGCAAACTGTCTGCAATCTCTGGTAAGTACGGTGACACTGTCACACCACTGTTTGCAATCTCTGGTAAGTAGGCTGACACTGCCACAGCACTGTCTACAATCTCAGGAGTAAGTGTCACTGTCTTACCACTCACTGTCTGCAATCAGGAGTAAGTAACCTTTGTCACCCTCACACCGCTCGCTGTAATCAGTGCAATTAATTCACTTTTCTCAGAACCTAGATGTGGCAGAGGCCGCTGGCCACAATACCTGCTCCTCTCTGCTTGCTCTGCTCGCTCTGCTCTGCATGCTGTGCTTCTATTTGCATGCTCTGCTTTTGCTCCTCTCTGCTTGCTCTGCTCCGCTCCTCTCTGCTTGCTCTGCTCCGCTACTCTCGACTTGCTCTGCTTCTCTCTGCTTGCTCTGCGGTGCTGCTCTCTACTCTGCCTTCTCTCTGCTTGTTCTGCTTTTCCTCCTCTCTGCATGCTTTGCTTCTATTTGCATGGTCTGCTTTTGCTCCTCTCTGCTTGCTCTGCTCCCCTTTACTTGCTCTGCTCCTCTCTGCTTGCTCTGCTCTGCTACTCTCGACTTGCTCTGCTTTTCTCTACTTGCTCTGCTTCTCTCTGTTCCTCTCTGCTCTTGTCCTCTCTGCTTGCTCTGCTCTGCTCCTCTCTACTTGCTCCGCTCCTCTCTACTTGCTCTGCTCCACTCCTCTCAACTTGCTCTGCTTTTCTCTACTTGCTCTGCTTCTCTCTGCTCTTGTCCTCTCTGCTTGCTCTGCTCTGCTCCTCTCTACTTGCTCTGCTCTGCTCCTCTCTACTTGCTCTGCTCCTCTCTACTTGCTCTGCGCTGCCTCTTCTCTGCTTGTTCTGCTCCTGTCTGTTTGTTCTGCTCTTCTGTTTGCTCTGCTCCTGCACACATATTGCCTAATACATACACACCCATACACGCACACTGCCTTATACATCCATGCATACATTTACACACACATATTGCCTGATGCATACACCTATACAGTGAGTGCAGAATTATTAGGCAAGTTGTATTTTTGAGGATTAATTTTATTATTGAACAACAACCATGTTCTCAATGAACCCAAAAAACTCATTAATATCAAAGCTGAATATTTTTGGAAGTAGTTTTTTAGTTTGTTTTTAGTTATAGCTATGTTAGGGGGATATCTGTGTGTGCAGGTGACTATTACTGTGCATAATTATTAGGCAACTTAACAAAAAACAAATATATACCCATTTCAATTATTTATTATTACCAGTGAAACCAATATAATATCTCAACATTCACAAATATACATTTCTGACATTCAAAAACAAAACAAAAACAAATCAGTGACCAATATAGCTACCTTTCTTTGCAAGGACACTCAAAAGCCTGCCATCCATGGATTCTGTCAGTGTTTTGATCTGTTCACCATCAACATTGCGTGCAGCAGCAAACACAGCCTCCCAGACACTGTTCAGAGAGGTGTACTGTTTTCCCTCCTTGTAAATCTCACATTTGATGATGGACCACAGGTTCTCAATGGGGTTCAGATCAGGTGAACAAGGAGGCCATGTCATTAGATTTTCTTCTTTATACCCTTTCTTGCCAGCCACGCTGTGGAGTACTTGGACGCGTGTGATGGAGCATTGTCCTGCATGAAAATCATGTTTTTCTTGAAGGATGCAGACTTCTTTCTGTACCACTGCTTGAAGAAGGTGTCTTCCAGGAACTGGCAGTAGGACTGGGAGCTGAGCTTGACTCCATCCTCAACCCGAAAAGGCCCCACAAGCTCATCTTTGATGATACCAGCCCAAACCAGTACTCCACCTCCACCTTGCTGGCGTCTGAGTCGGACTGGAGCTCTCTGCCTTTTACCAATCCAGCCACGGGCCCATCCATCTGGCCCATCAAGACTCACTCTCATTCATCAGTCCATAAAACCTTAGAAAAATCAGTCTTGAGATATTTCTTGTCAGTCTTGACGTTTCAGCTTGTGTGTCTTGTTCAGTGGTGGTCGTCTTTCAGCCTTTCTTACCTTGGCCATGTCTCTGAGTATTGCACACCTTGTGCTTTTGGGCACTCCAGTGATGTTGCAGCTCTGAAATATGGCCAAACTGGTGGCAAGTGGCATTGTGGCAGCTGCATGCTTGACTTTTCTCAGTTCATGGGCAGTTATTTTGCGCATTGGTTTTTCCACACGCTTCTTGCGACCCTGTTGACTATTTTGAATGAAACGCTTGATTGTTCGATGATCACGCTTCAGAAGCTTTGCAATTTTAAGAGTGCTGCATCCTCTGCAAGATATCTCACTATTTTGACTTTTCTGAGCCTGTCAAGTCCTTCTTTTGACCCATTTTGCCAAAGGAAAGGAAGTTGCCTAATAATTATGCACACCTGATATAGGGTGTTGATGTCATTAGACCACACCCCTTCTCATTACAGAGATGCACATCACCTAATATGCTTAATTGGTAGTAGGCTTTCGAGCCTATACAGCTTGGAGTAAGACAACATGCATAAAGAGGATGATGTGGTCAAAATACTCATTTGCCTAATAATTCTGCACTCCCTGTAGTGCCAGGAAAACATACTTGTTTTCCTGGCACTATAGTGCCCTGAGGGTGCCCCCACCCTCAGGGCCCCCCTCCCATCAGGCTCTAGGAGGTGGAAGGGGTTAAATTTACCTCTTTCTCCAGCACCGGGCGGGGAACTCTCCTCCTCCTCGGCTGAATGCGCATGTGCGGCACGAGCCGCGCGCGCATTCAGCCAGTCCATAGGAAAGCATTCACAATGCTTTTCTATGGACGCTGGTGTCTTCTCACTGTGAAAATCACAGTGAGAAGCGCGGAAGCCCTCTAGCGGCTGTTGATGAGACAGCCACTAGAGGCTGGATTAACCCTATTATAAACATTCTCTGAAACTGCTATGTTTATAGAAAAAAGGGTTAAACCTAGCTGGACCTGGCACCCAGACTACTTCATTAAGCTGAAGTGGTCTGGGTGCCTATAGTGGTCCTTTAAGTATACACACAATGCCACACACTCTCACTAACACTCACTATTAATAAGTATACACACAATGTCATACACTCTCACTAACACTCACTGTTATTAAGTATACACACAATGTGCCACACTCTCACTAACACACACTGTTAAGTATACACATACTGTCACTGACACTATTAAAGGACCACTATAGTGCCAGGAAAACATACTCGTTTTCCTGGCACTATAGTGCCCTGAGGGTGCCCCCACCCTCAGGGACCCCCTCCCGCCCGGCTCTGGAAAAGGGAAAAGGGGTTAAACTTACCTTTTTCCAGCGCTGGGCGGAGAGCTCTCCTCCTCTCCTCCTCCGTTACGCCCCCTGCTGAAATGCGCGCGCGCAAAAGAGCGCGCGCGCATTCAGGGTCTCAGAAAATTTTTACATGCTCCCTAGGATGCTGGCGTGCTCTCACTGTGAAAATCACAGTGAAACGCAAGCGCCTCTAGTGGCTGTCAATGAGACAGCCACTAGAGGATTAGGGGGAAGGCTTAACCCATTAATAAACATAGCAGTTTCTCTGAAACTGCTATGTTTATTAAAAAATGGGTTAACCCTAGCTGGACCAGGCACCCAGACCACTTCATTAAGCTGAAGTGGTCTGGGTGCCTAGAGTGGTCCTTTAAGTACACACACAATGTCAAACACACACTATCAAGTATACACACAATGCCACACACTCTCACTAACACACAATATTAACCCCTTAAGGACACAGCTTCAGAAGCTTGTCTTACGCTTAATGACACAAGCAATTTTTGCATTTTCTTGCTGTATGCGTTCAACTGCAATTTGCATCTCTCTCATTTATTGCATCGACACATTATATACTGTTTTTTAAAGGACAGAATATATATATATATATATATATATATATATATATACTTATTTATTATTAAAAAAAAAAAAAAAAAAAAGAAATAAACATTTTGTGTTTTTTTGTACAGTTTTTGCAATAATAATGTGTGCCTAATTAGTGCAGGTTAAAGAAAGTAATTAAAAATAAATTCATTTAGTTGTTCTGATTTACAGAATATATAATGTGTCTGGAATTTAAGTTTTTTTTTGGTAGTTACAGGTCACAAAGCACAAGAAGTAAAATAAACTTTTAATGTGGAGCGATTTTAGAATTTGGTATGTTTGTCTTGTAAGCTTAAAAGCCATAAAAGAAAACAAAATTGCCACACAAAAGTATATATTTATATAAAGTAGACATCACAGGCTATTTTCCTAGGGTTGTTTTGACACTTTCTATGTAGCCATTTCACCGCCAATCTCTGCTAAATATTGGAGTAAAATTTAGTTTTTGGGGGTTTTTGGCACACAAACTTATAACAAAGAACTTCTCATGTGTA